TCGTGTGCCGTTGCTGAGTTGTTTTGACGCGACGGTTTCTTCGGAGGAGGTGGAGAGGTAGTCGAATTGAGTGAGCATGACGACCCAAGGTATGTCGAAAGCGTTGGGATCGACGCTGGTACTTCTAGTATACAGGTCGGACCAGAGCTTTGGCGTGGAGATGGGGGTGAAGTGCGCGGTGTAGCTGGAGGGTATCGAGATGCCATGGGTAGGGTTCAGGACGTGTTGCACACCGTCGAGACATTCAGGTGATAGCTCGTTGTCGGCGAAGGAACCGAGAAGCTCGCTGACGAGTATGTCAACTTTGCCGAATGTGCCGTCGGCGAGTGTTGGACCTTTCCAGGCGCGCATGTCGGTCTTAACGACTGTGACGCGTCCGCCCCAGGTTTCGATGTTGTGCCGTTGGAGCAGAACGTATGCGTTGGGGTTCTTCTCGATGGCGTACACTTGTACGGGTACACCGGAGCTTGCGCTGGCATTTAGCGCGCGCGTCACAAGCGGACCTCGACCGGATCCTACGACTGCGATAACGACGGCACCGTTGCTAGAACTGGTTGATTTGCTCTCCGCATGCCAGTCTTTTAGCGCCTGAGCGATGGCGCGCTCGTACCACGCGTACTTGATTGGGTCCTTTTCGAACACCTCGTATGTAATAGATTCGAGGTTGTCTGTCAGGGGTTGCAGTGGGCTCTGGAGATAGTCCTGGAATCCACCACCGAACCGTTCAATCTGGCTCTTAGGAGGCTGGTTGCGCTGCAAGTATCGCATGTAGCTCAAGTGAGGTGTTGGGTCGTTGTTGCTACTGCTCTTCTTAGGCAACTTCTTTGCGATCTCGGCTGCTTCAGCGGGGGTTGGTGCGACTGTTCCTGATGATCCTGGGCTCGGTGCGTCTTCTACAGTGCGAGGGGATAGATGACCTGTGGAGTATGACATTATCATATCCGGGTCATCAATACCTGGTAGTTGGCCAACATCCGAGATGAGGAGCCAAGGCCCGCGCTGCAGGCGCATGCAACGGAAGATGAAAACCTGGTGTGCTTTGGACAGGACGTAAGACTGACGAGCGTTTACTAGGAAAGAGGAAGCGTGCAAGTTGAGAAGTCGCACAGGCTCAGAGAACCAGCGTGACTGGACAGCCAGGGATGGCAGGCGACGCGGCATATCGAGCATGACTGCTAACCTATTATGGTACTTGCAAATCGATCGAATGGTGTTCCACGCATCCCATGAGCTCCAAGAATCGAGATTCTTCGACTCACTGCTTGCCTCGAACTCAGATCTTGCGAAGCGCGCTAGATCTCCCATGTCGTCCTTGCTGGAGTCTGACTGCGTGCCATCCATGGGTAGTTGGATGTGCAGCTGGATGTAAGATCCAGTGACAAGCGCCTCCTTGATAGAACGAGCATACTGGGATACGCCGGTCTGGCCGTGAGCGAGTCTTGGTCCAGGGATGACCAGGTTGGTAACACCACAGAAAGCTGCATAGGCAACCTCGAGGTGAAAAGCTTGGCGCGACAAATGAGAGATAATCGGGTCAGGCGAAGATAAATCGATCCACGAGCTAGTGAATGCTACCAATTGACTAACAATCTCGTTCGGGCTAAGTGGTGTATCGAAGTTGTCCAAGGCAGGTATCAAGGGCAGCGGTTGGGATTGCGACTCAGCGAGGGCTTGGGTGTAGGAGTTGAGCAGACTCAAGACGCGGTTCTGGAAGTGGTCGTTGGTGATGGTGCTAGTGAGCATATCATACTGGAGGGTGTCAGTAGGGTTCTTGCTAGTCTTGGAGGCACTTACTCCGAGATCTTGGGCATGCTGCACCAACTCGGGCGAGACGTCCAGGGTGCGCTTCGACTCATGTTGGCCAATATAAAATACGGGCGCATGTTCGCCCATGCCTTCCGAGTAGTCCATAACAGTATCGGGGTTAGTGAGGCCAAGATGAGAAAAAGTGTTAGTGGAAGAAAAGTTGGTGAATGTTGCGGACTACCGCGGGGTCAGCAAAGTCGCGGATGCAATGCTGCGCCGCGCGACCAGGGATGCGGAGCGTGATCACGGCGGAAGGAACGTGGAGTAGAGAGAAGGGGCCACCAAGGGTGGAGAAGGTATATTTACTACATGGCGGCGTGTGGATATTGCTGTGGTGCCTTGCAGCCTGTCGTCGATTGCGCCAAGCGCGAGCAGTCGCGGTAAGTGGAGCTAAGGGCCCGTCGCATAACTTTTTCTGGGACGGCCATCCACACGCGCAGACACCGCCAGCACCACAATGACTGCCATGACGAAGCGCGAATACGGCGACGACGACAGTGCCCGCGTCAAGCGCGTCAAGACGGAATCCAACGGCGAGCGCAAGATGGACGCGGCGGCGAATCCCTACCTGGCGCACTGGAACGACGACAAGCCCGTCAAGAGCGAGTACAGCGGCACCGGCACCGGCCTCCAGGGCTTCAAGAAGCATGCGACGACGACGGCGCAGGCCAACGCCGCCGAAGACGGCCCCAACAACGCCTTCACCGGCCGCCCGCTCTCGAGCAAGTACATGAGCATCCTCAAGAAGAGGCGAGACCTGCCCGTCCACCAGCAGCGCGACGAGTTCCTCAAGCTGTATCAGGAGTCGCAGATCCTCGTCTTCGTCGGTGAGACGGGTTCCGGAAAGACGACACAGATCCCGCAGTTCGTCCTGTTTGACGACCTGCCCCAGCAGAATGCCAAGATGGTCGCCTGCACCCAGCCGCGCCGTGTCGCTGCCATGTCCGTCGCCCAGCGTGTCGCCGAGGAGATGGACGTCGAGCTGGGCGAGGAGGTCGGATACAGCATCCGTTTCGAGGACAAGACGGGGCCCAACACCATCCTCAAGTACATGACCGACGGAATGTTGCTGCGCGAGGCCATGAACGACCACAACCTCACGCGCTACAGCACCATCATCCTCGACGAGGCTCACGAGAGAACCCTGGCTACCGATATCCTCATGGGTCTGCTGAAGGAGGTCGTCCTGAGGCGGCCGGACCTCAAGCTTATCATCATGAGTGCTACGCTCGATGCTACCAAGTTCCAGAAGTACTTTCACAACGCGCCCCTGCTCGCCGTACCTGGACGAACCCACCCCGTCGAGGTCTTCTACACGCCTGCTCCCGAGCGAGACTACGTCGAAGCCGCCCTGCGCACCGTCCTCCAGATCCACGCCACCGAGCCCGAAGGCGATATTCTGCTGTTCTTGACTGGTGAGGAGGAGATTGAGGATGCGTGCAGGAAGATAAACCTCGAGGCCCAGGACCTTTCTCGTGAAGGTGGTGCTGGACCATTGGTCGTATACCCGCTGTACGGAACCCTACCGCCCGCACAGCAGCAAAAGATCTTCAACCCTGCGCCTCCGCCCGCAACACACGGCGGCCGCCCCGGACGCAAGTGCATCGTTTCTACCAACATTGCTGAGACATCTCTCACCATCGACGGTATTGTCTACGTCGTGGACCCTGGCTTCAGCAAGCAAAAGGTCTACAACCCCCGTATCCGTGTCGAGTCCCTCCTCGTTTCGCCCATATCCAAGGCATCAGCACAACAGCGAGCTGGTCGTGCCGGACGTACGCGTCCCGGTAAATGCTTCCGCCTGTACACCGAGCAAGCCTTTAAGAAGGAGCTCATCGAGCAGACCTACCCCGAGATTCTCAGGTCAAATCTGGCTAGTACCGTTCTCGAATTGAAGAAGCTTGGAGTCGACGATCTGGTACACTTTGATCTGATGGACCCCCCCGCGCCTGAGACCCTGATGCGTGCGTTGGAAGAGCTCAACTACCTGGCATGTCTCGATGACGAGGGTGAGCTGACCACACTCGGAGGACTTGCTTCGCAATTCCCTCTGGATCCCGCATTGGCAGTCATGCTTATTACATCGCCCGAGTTCTACTGCTCAAACGAGATCCTATCGCTTACTGCGCTCCTCTCTGTACCCCAAATCTTCGTCCGTCCAGCCAACAACCGAAAGCGCGCAGACGAGATGAAGGAGCTGTTTGCACACCCCAAGGGCGACCAGCTTACCATGCTTAACGTCTACCATGCATTCAAGAGCGAGGAGGCGCAAGCGAACCCAAAGCAGTGGTGCCACGACCATTTCCTCTCTTACCGAGCGCTGCAACAAGCCGACAACGTCCGTCTGCAACTGAAGCGCATAATGGAGCGTGAGGAACTTGAGTTGATGTCGACACCGTTCGAGAACAAGAAGTACTACGAGAACATTCAGCGTGCACTTGTTGCCGGTTTCTTCATGCAAGTTGCCAAGCGCGATGGTAACGGCAAGAGCTACATCACCGTCAAGGACGAGCAGAACGTTCTGTTGCACCCCAGCACTGTTCTTGCAGAGGACAGTGAATGGGTCATCTACAACGAATTCGTCTTGACAACCAAGAACTACATCCGAACTGTGACCTCCGTCAAGCCGGAGTGGCTTATGGTGAGTGCATCCTTCCCTGCTTTAATAAATGTTTTGCTAACTTCTGCCAGGACATTTCACCAAACTACTATGACTTGTCGCAGTTTAAGAAGGGCGAGATCAAGACGGCTTTGCAGCGAGTGGTTACCAAGCTCCAGCGCAAGGAAGTGGAGAAAGGAGGACGGAGATGATTGATTTCGAATGAGCTGTGAAAGCAAATGTAAAACAGAATTCGAGGGCGAGCTGAACATTGGCAGCATCATGAGCGTCGTATAGACGGCGCTCGTATCTGTTTACATGCCGCTTGGCGTTAGGCTTGCTTGTGTTTCGGATGACATGATTGAAGATAAAGACGCCGCCATGAGCGTCATTCTAATTGAATCCTTATGCATCTTTATCTTTCACTCTCCAGCTTACTTGCGATATCGACTAACCGCATACACGCTAGCGCTGACCCCCACATGTCGGTATCTGCGCGTGCCGACATCTCCAACTTTTTCTCAGCTCAGCAATTCCGCGACAACGCGATCGCAAACCACATTACGCGACGGAACAGGCTTGGTCTCTCTCGAAAATGGCTCCAGTACAAAGTGAAGACGTCTCTTTGTTTCACATCGAGCGCATATCGCAATACGTCTGCATCCCACCCTCATGTCTCGCGGATCCCTTCTCAGCAGTATGCGCAACAGTACTATCACCACTACTCCTCACGTACTTTCCACCTGCGAAGGGCGTAGTACTCGCATACGAAAATGTAGAGCTGCAAAGTACACCGCCCGCCGTATCGGATCCGAAATCCAAGAATAAAGCACAGTCGCAACAAAGCGAGTCTAGTTCCAGCGACGATGCGCCTGCTGAGCCGTTGCTACTCAGGCATGTCGATGAATACGCAGCGCCGTTTCTTTGGGTCACAGCCTCTTTCATCGTATGGCGCCCAACTCGAAATGCATACCTCACCGCGCACATCACCGACCAAGCGAAGACGCATCTCACACTCGCACACCTCAACACCTTCCCCGTGAGCATACTCAAGGAATGCCTTCCCTCAGATTGGTCGTGGCATTCGGAAGAATCCGGTCAAACGAAGCAGGGATACGATGGCAAATTGTCAGACGAGGGAGGCTGGTGGGTGAACGGCGACGGAGAGAAGGTGGAGGGAGAGCTACGAGTGAGGATACGAGACGTGGAGGGCAGGATGGATGGAAAAGGAAAGGGCAAGGGTTTCTTGCGCATTGACGGTGCGCTGGTTTCTGAGGAGGAGATCAAGGCGGCACAACAGAAGGCTGGCAAGGGGAAGAGAAAAGCGACTACGAGCGCGATGAAGGCGCAACCACAGAAGCAGGCGGAGAGAGAAGTCATGGAGATCGATTCGGATTAGGTCGTGGGTGATGGGACACTATACGGGTCTATTTGGTCGCAACCTTGGAAGCTTTGCGAGATGCGCAGCATATCATTCGCATCAAAACGGCGTTATGGCGTTGAAAACTACGAAAGATGCAAAATCCAGCATCTACGATACCACACACAAATATAACAACCTTCATCAACCGCTCCACTTCCCGTCCCTCGTGAGCACAGACCAATCAGACAACGCACACCTCCGTCTCCCGCCGCAGCAAACCGCGGCACGCATCCCCCATCAAACCCATCATCCCATCCCACCACCTCTCCCACCTTCCCACCTCTCCCTCCCCAACCCCCCAATCCAACCAACCACCCACACTCTTTCACCCCACCCACTCACCCACTGTATTATGTCTTCATCCAAGAAATCCTCCTCCTCATCCTCCCGCAAATCACGCTCCCACGACCCCATCTACGAATCTGGATATAGCAGCAGCAGCAGCAGATCCTACGGCACGACGTATAGCAGCATGTCGCCTTTCTGGACGATTGGCACGCTGCTGGGGGCGAGCAGTGTGGCGCTGGGTGCGTTTGGGGCGCATGGGTTGAAGAGCAGGATTAGGGATCCGGGGGCGTTGGCGAATTGGGGGACTGCGGCGCAGTATCAGGTATGTGTGTTGTTCTTCGAGAGAGAGAGAGAGTGGTTTGATGTATGGGATGGGCATGTGTTGCGGGAGTTGAGAGTGGTTTGTGGGTGAGATGCTATCAGGCGCAACATTTGCCCCTCTTCGCATTGGACACTGCGTCCCTTCTGTTTTTGTTGAATCGGGATTTATGCTAACAATGAACATAACAGCTCGTCCACTCCGTCGTCCTAACAATGACATCCGTTGTCGCGCCGCAAAACAAAATCGCCATGGCCCTTTTCACCGCCGGCATGACCATGTTCTCTGGAAGCATATACCTTCTTGTGCTGGATGCGAAGAAGTACAAGCAACTGGGGCCTGTCACGCCAATTGGCGGCGCTTGCCTTATCGCTGGTTGGCTGGCGCTGGCCGCGAGGGGAAAGATGGTCAGACTACCTAGGAGCGCGTGATGGATGAAGACAAAGGATTGATAGACCGGGAAACGGACATTTGTACAGTCGAACAAAGCCTGCAGGTCTGGCATATCATATCACGAGATGCATGAGATACTTGGTTATGAGCATGATGAATGACAATAGATTGATTCTGGCAAATTCTGCAGCGAGTCAAATCCTTCACCGTGCAGCAATTCTTCGAAAACACATCGTGAGATGAAAATAGCTACTCCGGTCCTTACGCGCCACCGCGCCCACTCGCGGATGACTAGTTTCCGATCAAGATCTTTAGCTCCCATGACTCGAGACGAGCCGCACCCCACATCCGCAAGTCTAGATCGTCACCTTCAACGTCCATCCCAACCAGCTATGTGCTGGCGTCCCGCTCTGCCTTTCTTTGTCACATGTTTCGTATCCAAAACTGTAGTCTGGCACCGAGGAATCGTTATGGCCCCCAAACAAGTTCCCAATATGACACGCTCCGGGACTTTCCAGGGTGGGTGGGGGAGGTGGAGGGGAGGCGGAGGGGAGGCGGAGGGGAGGTGGTGGAAGTCACACGCTGTCTGTTTACTAGATTCAGGATAAATTATGGTACCTAGGTAGGCTTGTTCGTCGAGGTTGTTCTGAATAGACAGCCCTGGTGCCCTGGTTCCTGTTATGACACGCTCCGGCACTTCCCCCCACTTAGCCATGTAGCGTGTGCCGCAGGAAGCGGCTGCATGGCATAGCGGCTTTCTACCTTGTAAGAGAAGAGAACCCTGGAACTAGGGTAAAAGCAATGTCTTCTCATGCGGCAGTATCGTTCTTTTCCTCACATTGTTGTACAGTATGGATTCAACAAGTATTGAGACATCGTCAACAACATGGCTGCCATCAGCGCGTCATATACTCGGTCTCGCAGGCCTCTGGCTACTGTTCAAAGTGCTAGAAGCTATCTACAACATCTCGCCGCTCCACCCGCTGAGTTCAATCCCTGGACCAAGATTGGCAGCTGCGACGTACTGGCCGGAATTCTACCACGATGTTGTCAAGTTTGGTTGTTATACGAAGGAGATCAGTAAGATGCATAGAGTTTATGGTGAGCTCATCACTGGCTATCTTACACCAGCGCGTAAGCTAATCAACAACTTCCCTATCAGGACCCATCGTGCGAATCAACCCCAACGAAGTCCACTGCGATGACATCCGCTTCGCAGACGAGATATATGCTACCGGCAGCCGAAAACGCGACAAGCCAAAGCACCAAGTCAACGGATCTTCGTAAGCCACTCATTGCACGCATACATGCCAACCATATAGTCTCACTAACCTCTCCCAGTATCTCATTATCCGGATTCGGCACCATCGACCACGACCTCCACCGCCTCCGGCGCGTCCCCCTAGCAAAATTCTTCTCCAGAGCCATGATAACACGGCTCGAACCCGAAATCCACAGTCTGGTCCAACAGCTCTGCGACAAGCTACTGCGGCAATCCGGCGACAAAGAACCCTTCGACATCGCCATGGCATACAGCTGCTTCACTTCCGACGCCATTTCCAGCTACAGTTTCGGCGAAAGCTTCGGGTTCCTCGACCAGGAAGGGTGGTACCCGAATTTCCGAGAGCCAACGGCCGCAGTCCTTAGACCGGTTTTTGTGTTTCGGTTTTTTCCTTGGACAAGTAAGAGTGCGGCGCTCGCGACGACTTTTATCGATTATTTGCCCAAGGATATCGCGCTGATGGTTAAGACTTTGCAGGTTGATTTGCCTAATAGAGTGCTCAAAGCGAAGGCGGATCTTGACGCGGGAATCACGTACGACCGACCCACGATCTTTGCTTCGCTATTACAGTCTGACCTCGGTGCCGGGGATAAGGGCGTGGTGCGTCTAGTCCATGAGGCACAAGCTGTACTGGGTGCTGGTACAGAGACCACGAGCTGGGCTTTGGCCGTGATGACATACCACCTCCTCACCAACCCCAAAATCCTCGCTAAACTTACCCAAGAGCTCCAAACCGTTGTAGAAGACCCGCTAAACCTCCCTGGCTGGACTGTCCTGGAAACACTACCTTACCTCGGCGCTGTCATTCAAGAAGGACTCAGACTATCCTACGGCGTTTCTAGTCGTACAGCTCGTATTCCGACGGAGGAGACGCTGCTGTACCGTGGCGAATGGAATAAAAAGTCTGTTGAGTACGTTCTTCCCAAAGGCTATGCGATCGGTATGTCGTCGTACGTTACGCATCACGATGAACGCGCTTTTCCGGACTCTTATGCTTTTGTGCCGGAGCGGTGGTTGGATGAGAATGATCAGAGGAGGAAGGAGCCGGAGCGCAGTATACTTTCTTGGTCGAAGGGGAGTCGCTCTTGTTTGGGGAAGAAGTAAGTGGATTGTGATTGTCCTGATTTGGAGATGGAGGGCTAACGTTGATTCTGTAGTCTGGCTTTGTGTGAGCTCAATCTGTGTCTCGCTGCGACGGTGCTGCGTGTGATACCGAAGATGCGATTGTTTGATACGACGGAAGAGGATGTGGCGTATGATCATGATATGTTTGTGCCCATGACGAAGGATCATAAAGGTGTAAGGGTTACAATCGAGTAGTGTAATAGAGAATCACTCCAAACCCGAAATGTGTTAAAACGCTCGACGCATAAGGCAAAAGTCTCCTGTTCTTGTTCATTATCAGATTCCGGATATCGCTTTTGATTTGTGGTATCTCATACTGAAAAGAATCATTTGCGCCATATATGCGTTCTCCTCTTCTTTTCTCCACACAAAACATACACTCTGGCTCTCTCCGATGCCCTCTACAAATACTCCTTCTTCCTTCCCGTCCTCGTGTATTGATTGAGATGCCACTCAACATCCCCCTCCTTATTATCCAGCGTCCCAGCCCTAATCTCAAACAGCCTCATGCTCATCCTCGGTCCCACCTCCGCCAGCTCCACAGACTGGTACCCCGTCTTGACAAAGACGTGGTGCCTGACCTCAATCGTATCCTCGATGTTCTTGAACGTGACGACGCGGTTTCCTACTTTGGCGGTGGCTTCGCGGGGCGGGAACAGGTGTTTTAGGATCTGGACGCAGCGTTCTCCGAGTTTGGTAGAGAATCCTTCGAAGATTAGGTGTGGGTAGGATTCGGAGACTGTGCCGCGAGAGGCGTTGGGGATGTCGGCGCGGAGGACGACGTTGCTGGGGTGGTGTTAGTAAATGTGGAATGAAGGGGTGGGCTATGGCTTACTGTAATGAGAAGCTAGCGGTTGGGCCGTGAGGGAAATGTGATACTGTCAAGGCGGTGGGTGTTCCTCTGTGCTCGTGGAGAAGGACGATGTCGCTTAGGCCGCCTGACTTTGCGCTCTCGACGAGGTTTGGCAGGACCATGTTTCCGCGGTTCAATCGTATTGACGTAGGTAGCAATAATCGAATCTCCTTGGCGAACGTTCCCAGTCTACTCGATGGATCTATACCAGCATCAGCATATCGCTCTGTCTTCCCAGCTGTCTTAGGTTTATGTACCTCTCGAAGTTGTGACCAATATCCTGGGATCCACCACACCCGACAGTTGCGCATACTCGTCGTCGAGCCCTAGCTCCTCCTCTGCAGTTCTATCCGCTCTGCTCTCGTCGTACTTGAAATCCTGTCGTAGGTTCTGGTCGTTGGCGACATCCTTGGAGAGTGGCTTGCCGCTGGCGAGCGAAGCTTTCAGCGCTGCTCTTTTCGAAGCGAGTTCGGCGTCGCGGAGGGTAAGCGCGCGGCGGTAAAGGTAGTCGCGACGTTCTCGGGCTTGTTTTCGGATCATGTTGGCGGTGTGTGGTGGGTAGTGAGTGGATTATCTGGGGCGCATGTAGGAAGTTGGAAAGTTCGCGACGGAGCGACGAAAAGAAAAGTGGGTCACGACACTTATCGATAAGGCCATGCCAATGCGCATACCTCGGACTCCCGATTTCACTCAAAGACATCAATCATCATCGTGCCGTGATTCGTTATTAGAGTGTTCATTAAGCACCTCCGAAATATGGCTAAACTATGTACAAGAACGTAAACTGTCACGCCTTCCCTCTCCCGGCCCGATGCACAATTCTCTCCACCTTCATAAATCTCATGCAGTACGAGAGATATTCTAGCCGAAAGAACGCTCATAGACCCAATCTCGAAATCAAACATCCACTCCGAATCATACGTAATCATCCCCCAGAAAGTCGGGTGTTGATCCGCTGAGACCACGTCCACTACAGCAGATATGGTCAGCAAGCTGCGACATCATGCCCAGTCAAAGACCACACGTACCATCGGAACATCCACATACTACCATTCATCGCTTTTGGCTCACTTAGGCTCTGAAGCTCTGTCCTCTCCGCCTAGTCAGAGACTCAATCTCCGACTCCACATCCCAGCACTCGTAAAACGCAGCCCAGTCACCCACAAAGTCTCCGTCTACGGGGCCATAGTATTTGCCGATGGGATACCCAACGCCGCGGGTTGATTCGCTGTAGAAATTGCAGGTGGTTCCTGAGTTCACGTGGTAGCTGACGGGTTGGATGTAGTAGCCGTCTGCTCTGTCCTGAGTGATGACACGGACGTTGTTTTGGCCGGTGGTGTCGAGCATGTAGGTTTTGCCGTTGCAGTCGGTAACGTGGGCGACGGGGCTGAGGGGGGGTTAGTGAGTGAGGTTGAGGTCGAGCTGAGCTGAGATTTGGTACTTACGGAAGGGCCTCAGCAGCGATAGCGATGGAAGAGGTGAGCACTGAGGCGAAGATGAATAGGGTGGAGAACATCGTGGGGAATTGCATGGTAGACGTGTGATTCTCGGATCTTCACTGCAGAAGAAGTATGGTGACTGTAAAGAGGTTTATAACCAGGTGCGTCAGGAAGACGATTGCCGTTGTACTACAGCTACAGCGTTGCACAAAGTTCTCGACCGTGATAGCGCCTTCCCAACACGAGCCCGTTACCGTGGAACTCGAGATAAAGCAAACAACAAAAAAACAAAGAAAGCATCTTAGCGCGCTTTGGAAGCTACAACGGGACCTCCAAGTAGCTTAGTTCGCTGCATGGACTGTATGTATGCGGCAAGCTTGGAAAGTTCCCAACGCTACATACCCCAACATATATAGCATGCGCACGCTAGTATTCAGCCCTTCAGCCTTGAGTGAGGGGTCCGGGCGAGCAGCTGTAGTAGTTGGGCGCTTTCTTCCAACGCCGCTCTTCCTTGGTTAGAAGACCGCTGCAGCGTGTGAACTGGTCGATGTGTTCGTCTCCGCCGTTGTTGCATGTACCCGAGTCGACGGCGCTGGAAGGGAGTCAGTAAGTACCCATCCTTTGCTCTCATCGCTGAATAACTCACTAGTACAAGTAACAGTCGCAGTTGAAGGCCTTGAATCCAGTAATCTCCTTGTAGTCTTTGACGGGAATACAGCCACCCCACTCAAGACGCTGGTGTACTTTGTTACCGATCCAGGTCTCGGCGCAGATATCTCCTTGGGTGTGACATTCGTCACGTGCGGTGAAGACGCTAGGGCTGGGTCGGGAGGATCGAGGAGCGGCAAGAGTGAGTGAGAGGAAGCCGAATAGGCTGAGGAAGGAGTAAAGGTGATACATGTTGTCGAGACTGTCAGGGTGAGTTGTCAGAAGGTGTTGAGTTGTGTCAGCAGGAGCAAGAGTCGATCCGCGACTTCTTATATCGACGTCGGGGAATGCGCCAAGCCAGTGCGTGAATCACTTGAGGAATGCGCGAACGTATCCGGTGAAGGCCCGGGCCGCGCCTTCCACGTCGTGGGTCCAGAATGTGCGGGGAACTACAAATTCGCTCTTGCGAAGAATTGATCAACGCTCGCGTATGTGCGTGCATATTGCCAGCTCATCAATCGACGCACCTGTGTGGCGTATCTGGGGGCCGATGCGCCTCTTCGGACGTCAGCTCCAACCACTTCAGACCCCACTCGTATCGGGGTTTTTGGGAATACCGTGCCGCAACGATGGATGTTCGCCGGCGCCTGAGGGGAGCGTGAATGTGTTCGCAGTCTATCCTCTCGTTACACGTGCGGATGAGAGCACGATGAAAGTGCCAGGCTGCCGCATCACGAGGAGGTTGTAAGCTATGCAGGCTGATGTATCAGTCACACGCATGCGTGTAGCCCGATTCCATGAAGAAACAAATGTTTTGTTTTGCTGAGTGAAACATGATTTAGCCTACCAACGCCGTAAACATACATTATCGCTAAGAAGCCACCACTACTGCCAGCATTACCATAATGATATGACACTCAAATATGTGGCAACCGCCAATGACTCTGCCCATATTCGAGTCCGCTATGATGCATTTAACCCAAGGTCGCGCACTTGTACCACTTGGGATTGGGATCCTCGAAACAGGGTTCTTCGCCGGGCTCTCCAGTCGGTCCCTCATACATCGGTGGATCGGTAGCTCCTTTGCAGTCGTCCTCGCTCCTACAAAGTAGTCGTCAGCCACTGTTATGGTTCTGCTCATACACGAGTTCAAACAGCATGTAGTTACCAGGCATATTCATGGTCTCGCCAATATGCAAAGTCGAACAGTATGTATCTCTCAAAGTGTATTGTACTTACAGGTAGAATGAGCATTCACAGCCCCCAAACAAGCTATAGGCATACGCGTCTTGGTATCCTGGGATTGTATCGTTGTAGTATATTGCTGTACACTCAGCTACAGCTGATGGGTATGCGGAGATACCAGCATAAGCGCTGCTGTTTCGAATGGTGAGAACGTAACCGCAGTTGTATGGCTCGCCGTAGAGTTCTGGAGTCGTCGATACAGGAGCTGAAAGTGTGATAGGCAAGCTGGCGAGCAAGCTTGTGAGGAAGGTGGTAAGATACATCTTGGGGTTTGGTGAGTTTCGCTGGGATGAAGACAGTGTATATAACTGTTGTTGTTTTGAAGGCGGTTCGGTGTGTAGAGTGACAAAGGTTTGAAAGATAAATCTGAAAGACCTTGAAGATATCTTTGATGTTTGCGTCGGATGTGCTTGCGTTTACTGATACCTGTGGTGAGAGGATGTGAAGCAGGTCTAAATACCACATGTGGATCGCGATGAGCTCATCTCACCATCTTCGCCAGTGGTAACCGAGCTGTCAAAATGCAAGATCCCGTCATCAGCATGGCTTTGGTACTCCCTCCCTTGCCTATCATGGACGTTGAGTGTCGTACACATATACCGATTCCATGTCACCTTCGCCTTCTTGACGAATGCGCCCACGACGGTGCCCTATCAAGCACGGTAAACACGATCAGGAGCCATATGCGCAATATGTCGGTCAAGCCGAGTTGACGTGTTCGGAAGTAGGAGCAGCCTGACCGCCGAACCGCGCCTCTCCGGTACGACGCTGAAATGTATTCGAGACAGTAGTAG